AGATGAAGGGATGAACACACGAGTTTGGCCAATATGGTGCTAACTTGGCTCATGGGGCTATCAGGAAAATTCAGTAAGCCAATCCACACAGGGCTCACTGGTTTCTTCTTGTTATCGCTACAGACAAGTGGGGTTTAGGGAGGGAAGAGTCTGGTGGTTCTGAGTGCCCTGAACCCACACTTTCCTCCATGTTTTTTGTATAACCCATGTCACCTTTGTTCTTTGAAAGCCTCCTTTGGGAGGCCGTTACAGTGGCATAGTAGGCTAAGCCTCTACCTGTGGTGCTGGCATACTACTCCATTTCCCATCCAGCTCCCTGCTAATGTGCCTGGGAAAGCAGTGGAGGATGGCCCAAAACCTTAGAATCTTGCACCCACATTGGAGACCCAGAAGAAGCTCCTGGCTCCTGGCTTTGGATTAGCTCAGCTCCAGCCATTGTGGCCACTTGGGGGAGTTATTTGGCAGACAGAAGATCTTTCCCTCTGTCCTTCCTCTTCCCTGTATACCTGGATTTCTAATACAAATAAATACATCTTCAAGAAAAAACTTATCCCGAAAGGCAAGCCAAACAGCGCACCTGTGCACACCTCCTCCCACATCTGGCTCATCTCCTCCCTTGCCCTAAAGTGTCTTGAGGTTAACAGCTTGTTTCCTACATCCAGTATCAAACAGCCATCTTGGTCCCAAGCCCAGCTACTCCATTCTCCATCCAGCTTCCTGCTATGCACATGCTAGGAGGTAGCAGGTGATGGCTCAAAGGCGTAGATCTCTGCCACCTGTGTGGGAGACCTGGGTGGAGTTAGGAGCACTTGACTTCAGCTGGGCCCAGCCCTGGCTGCTATAGGTATTTAGGGAGTACGTCTCACTCCCTATCACCTTCCCAAAGAAAATAAAAATAAATAAACAAAGTGGTTGAAGTTGTTTAAAAGCTTCCTTAAGGCAGGCTTGTGGCCTAGTGGGGCTAGTTGGGTTGGCTTCAATGCCCATGGACATGTATGAGAGCAGAATGGGATGTGGGACCGGCAAGCATGGGAACCAGGGCACGAAGGGGGCCTGGTGGGGGTTAATGCGGGTCACTCTGACTAGGCTAAAACTCCCACTGGTTTGCACGGGGGCCAAGCGTGCGGAGAGCAGGATCGAGCTGGACTGCAACACCTATTTGTTTGCGTAGAAGACAGGGCTGGAGACAACTCACCCAGCAATTGCAATTAACAGTATGAGCATAAGCTGATTTGGGTGACGGACTGTGCCGGACCCTGTATTGTCAAGCAAACACAAGAATCAGGTCTGGGATCACCTCACATGAAGCTTCTTTGGGAATCCCTGCAACTGAACCTCTGGACTCAGAAACCCAACCACGGAGGAAAGTGCAGGTTTCATGGTCTAACATGGAATGTGTCAGAGCTGGGTCTCCTCAGTGACTTAGACAAGCAGTGGACAGCATATCCAGATACAAACAAGAGGCATTTCACTCTCTCAAGACCAAAAAAGCACACCGCTCTTCCTCCCAGAGCTTGGCAGACTCCCTTCTGCCAGGTGGCCATGCCCACATCAGTAGAAAAGGATCCCATGATCAGTGTGACCATCGCACAATGGACTGGGGCTGGCATTTCATCTCTACTCTCTGCCTTCCCAGACAACCCCACTGAGATCGCAAGGAACACGTAAGACATGTCTTTTCATCCCGGCTAACGCCATGGGGCTGTTCGCGACTCGGAAAGCTACTCACGTTTGAAAGTGCTGGGAGGCAGCCAGGACGGAGACAGGGCTGGCGGCAGGGCCGGGGCACCCAAGGGAGACACCATGGGAATCTGGCAGCAGCCTAGACAGCAACAGAAGCCCCTAACTGCACGGGGCTCGTTGCGCAGGTGGTTGGAGTTAAAGGGTATGAGCCCAGGCCCCATCCCCAGCTGAAGCTCTTCTGCACAGTTGGCAAACATTAACTAGATGGAGCAGACAAAGACCAAGCTAAGCCTGAATTTCACCCAGCAACTATGTTTTCAATTCCAAGTCTTCCCAAGTCAGGGCATCCTCTGTTTGGGTTTGGCGACTCTTATCCAACCTGGCCCCCATTGCTGGGGCACCATATTCCCCTCTGGCCCAGAAGCCCCCAGGTGTTGGCCCCACACCTTGATTGGGCCAGACCAGGCCCCACCTTGGTTATGAGAATCCCTGCCCCCACCCTGGGGTGAGATATTTCCAGGAAGTGGCTCCTGCCCAGAGTCTTGGGCAGGAGTTGGGATCACCAGCTTGGGGCCACTTCCTGGAACCAGCAGACACATCCCGTGCCACAGCGGCCACATCCGCCTTTGGTACCGTAGTGGGATGCTGCCCAACTTCCCATGGTCGCTCAGTGCTCTTGTTGGTACAGAAGGCCCCAAGGTCTGGGAGCTGCTGCAACACAGAGCTGGACCCCAAACCACAGGAGCAGAGCAGCAACTGCATGCAGGCGGTGCCAGGCTCGGCCTGTGGTCAGCACTGTTACGGGGTGCGAGCGAGAACACACCAGACATGTCTAAGGTTTATTAAGGAGTTTTTATTAACCAAGCTTGGTGATAATAGAGCACAGTGGCAAATTACAAGTCCATATGGCAATCCAATCAATCATAATTCAACCAAACATAACCCCAAGAGGAACAAATGGTCATTACCCTGAAGTCCATCCATTAAGCTGAAGACCTATGTCCCAGCTTCCCCAGTAATGTAAGTTACCCTAAGAGACATTCAATGAATAACCTGGACACATTTATAAACTTGCAGACATTCACCTTTCCCTGGCTTCTCTGCCCACATTCCATCACTGCTAGGCCTCACCCCTCCTGGAACTCCTGAGAGTACACAAACCAGAAATAACATTGCTATATCCATTGTCCCATCTAAGCAGTATACAGGGACCATGCTCAGGGAATTACCTGTCCTGGGTCAGCCAACAGTCAAGGTGTCAGAGCAACGGAAGCACCTGACCAGAAAGAAGCCCCTGCTTCATGAGCCTTTAAAGGGGCTTGTGCGGGGCTTCAATGCAATGCCGTCCCCTCTCAGATGATAGGTGAGAGTCATGGGTGGACAGCTAGGTGATGGGGGAAGTGGCTGAGGGTTTCATAAGGATGGAATTAACATTCCACTGCTATTAGGCCCCATCTTCAGGACAGAAGGTGGGGGGCACAGTCATATTCCATTTGCCCACTGTCAATGGGTGCTGGCTGTCACTGACTGCACTGCATGACAGCAGGAGGAGGCTTTTTCAGGGAAGATCTGATCAGTGACTTCTAGGACTTCCACAGATCCGAGAAGTGCTTGGGGCTCTTCAAAGCGCAGGGCCTGAGGCCCAGTGGGAAGCAGTGGTGGGGGGCAGGCCTGCAAGGGTGAGCAGGCCTGGGTGGCCTCGGAGACTCCCCTGACAGAGCTGGAGACAACCCCAACTGCTTGCCAGCGGTTTTTTTTTTTTTTTAAGATTTATTTATTTTTATTGGAAAGGCAGATATACAGCTCTTGTGCCCAGATTTTATAATCTCCAGAAAATCATCAGGAGTCTGAAAGTCAATGCAAACGCATAACGGGGTTTCATTCAGGCTAACCTAGCTCCCAGTCACCACCCCCACCCAGCAGGATGGGGGAGCAGTAACAGCCTAATCAGCATCAGTAACAAAAAGTGAAGAAGGTCCAGAAGAAAAAAAAAAAGCGCTGAAGCTCAACAGCACAGGGTTTTTATACATTTCAGGCCAATTCCACATAATTATACAGTCATGATTGGTTAGTTTATTTGTTAACTTTTAAAAAGAGCAAGTTGGTAGGCTTCTATTGGTGGGCTTCAAGCAAGCAACTTTCAAAAAGTACAAACTGATGGGCTATAGGGCAGTGGGTCTTATCAAACACCAGGGGCCTCCTTCCTGAGCAGTTTGTGACCTGCCAGGTGTCCTGTCGGGTGTCAAGCAGACTGTCAGGCCTGGAGTTCACAGTCCCCAGGCAAGCGAGCAAGGCAGAAATCACAGAAGCAGAAAACACGTAGGTTCTTCACAGCAAGAAGACACAGAGAGGAAGATCTTCCGCCCACTGGTGCACTCCCCAAGTGGCCACAACAGCCAGAGCTGAGCCAGGAGCCAGGAGTCAGGAGCTTCTTCCAGGTCTCCCACGTGGGCACAGGGTCCCAAGGCTTTGAGCCATCCTCAACTGCTTTCCCAGGCCATAAGCAGGGGGCTGGATGGGAAGTAGAGGAGCGGGAACACAAACCAGCACCCATATGGGATCCCATCACTGCAGGCAAAGTGTTAGCCTGTGGAGCCACCACGGGCACATCTCTACCAGATCTTAAGAGTCAGCATTACCAGTGACCCATGGCGCAGATGTGGAACACAAGACAGACAGACTGAGCAGCTCGGTCACTGTCACACAGCTAGTCAAGCAGAGAGCTGACAGCTGGGCCCAGACAGTGCAGCTCTGCGTCTACACCATTCAACACCTACAGAAATGCAGAGCAGGACAGATTCTCCTGCCTCGGGCCTTAAGACGCTGCCCCACGGCACAGCCCTCAGGAGCAGCTGCAACAGTGGAGTCACCAGGGCCAGCCTTCCTTCCTGCTGGGTTCCCAGCAGTCCCAGTCTTCATGGCATTGTGGGATGCCATCTCCACAAACAGGAAGCAGCCCCTTGCCCTGCAGTAGCACCCATGGTTTCTGGGCACGGGACACTGCGCCCCCTGGTGTCCATCCTGTGAAAGCACTGGCAGGCTGTGTGAGGTCAAGGGCAGCGCTGACACCAGGTGGGTTTCAGTGCTGGGCAAGGGCCCTGGGCCCAGGGTGACATTGACGACCCCTACAAGAAGGGTAGGCAGGGCCAGACAAGGAGTGCCAGGGCAGGTTAGTGGCAACCCCTCCCCCGGCAGATGCAGATGATTGGGTGAGGTCAGCTGGGGGTCCACTGCCAACATCTGGGCTGCCCAATCCCAGAGCCAACTATTGGGGGAGGAAGAACCTCTGCACTTAAGGCACCGGGGGAAGCAGAGGCGGCCCTGGAGGCACAGTGACTTTGGTGTCCAGTGGCAGCCCTTGCCTCCTTCTGCTGGGAGCCAGGGAGGCCAGGTTACTGCACCATATGGGAGGAGCTGGGGGCCTCCATGTCCGCCTTGGCTGCTGCCTCGGAACGACATCTCTGAGAGCAGAACCAGACGAAAAGAAAAAAACCTGCAAGCAAAAGGTCAGTCGGTGAGCACCTCGCCGGCGCCAGGTCCCCCAAACCCTGGGAGGAGTGAGGTTTCCCCGGGGCCCACGAGGAACTCCCAGAATTCCCTGTTCCTGGAGGCCAGAAGGGACAGGACCTCGAAGCACACCCCATCTCCACCCCCCAAGGGGACCTTTGTGTGTGGGAGTTGGGTGGCTGCGCCCCTTCTCTGGGCAGAAGTGGTCTCATAGCAGCTTAGTCAGAGGAGCAGGGGCAGCAACTGCCTTTTAGTCCCACCCTCGCCCCTCTACCTGTGGCAATCCCCGAGGGCTTCCTGCAGGCAGCCCCAGGCCCTACCATAGAGCGAGTTGAAGATGGTGAAGAGGAAGAGCTGTGGCACAAGGAAAACACCGAAGGAAAAGAAGGCCAGGGCCCAGGTGGTACCCAGCAGCGCCGTGAGGCCCAGCACCAGGGTAGTGTTGCGGCAGGCCTGGGAGCCTGGTGCCTTCTCCCGTGCCCGCAGCCTGCGCACAGTCCACAGGGCCCAGGCCAGCACCCCCAGATTAAACAAGGACGTGAGGCCACCATAGCCCATGACCAGGACACTGTGGACCGTCGGGTTCCGCACCCAGCACCTGTTGGGGACAAGGCACAGGGTCCATGAGTACTACCCACCTACCATGCCTACGTCCCTGCCACCTGGTTCCACAGCTGCCCACATGCGTTGGCTTACTGAGGCCCCTCCTCACTAAACTTGTACTCCTCTCCCCACCCATGGCTACCCTATGCTAACTGGTATGATATTGATTAGATCATTGACTGGGACTTGGGCTTTCTAGAAGCTCGCCTTCCCAGGCCCACCATCTTTGGGCAAGAAACCTTGTCCTGGCATGGCTTGGCATGCTCTCAAACCAAGCAGGGGAAGAGCTGCCACCCCGTGGCTGGGTGTTCAGGTACTCTCCACCGGCAATCAGGGGCTGACGGGCAGTAGGAACATGACAACTTGCCCTGGTGTTAGGCTCTCTCTGTGGCCTTTGGGGCTTTGTCTCTGTGGGATGCCTCCAGGTCAGATGTCACCCCGTGTCCCTGTGTCATGTGCCAAACGGAGTGTCCCGCAGGCAGTCCTCACGGTGACCCCACAAGGCATGTCCACAGTCATCAGTATCTCACAGAAGCAGAGAAGGAAACCATGGCTTGAGTACCAGAACAGACAAGGACAGGACCTGAAGCCCCAGGCTGGTGCCCAGGCCTGTACCATATCTACTCCGGTCCCAACCAGGATTCCTGCTACTGCAGCGCCGCCAACTGGAGACACTTGGGATTGTCCCTGTAGGGGCCCTCCGGAGCCAGTAAGGGAAGTGGCTGGGTCCCTGGACTCCTCCCATACCCATGGCCCAAGCACACTCACAGGGTCGTGTTCTGGGAGTCTGTGTCATTCAGGCGGCTGTCAGAGACAGGGATCCTCCGGGGTCCGTACACAGAGCTATCCACAGCCAGGAGCAGCAGCACCAGCAGGGCCGGGACCCCTGATGGGGAGGGGGAATACAGGCTCAGGAGACACTGGAGGAGCCAGACTACCGGGAGAGAGCCTCCCTGGGCAGAGGACAGAGGGAGCTGCTGAGGGGGTAGTCTCACCCCATGGCCAGTGGCCTGGCACTCTCAGAGGGGGCACTTCTCCAAGCTGGGGATGGAATGCAGGGGGTGCCAGGGGTCTGGCTGGGGTGACAACAGTGACAGTGGTGACAGGGCAGTGCTGACCGGAGTGGGGCTGGGAGAAGAGGGAAAGTGGCGTGGGATGGAGTGAAAGTGGTGATGAAGATGATGGCAGAGATGGAGGAGCTGAGAGGTCACACAGAGACCACAAGAGTGATGGCTGGAGGTCCCATGGGGCATGGTAGGAAGACTAGCGGAAAGACCATGGGCCCACCTGCTGGGGCCCACGCTCACCCCAGCCCAGTGCACACAGCTTGAGCACGTATCTGTGGACGTAGACGTTGTACACACGCCCGAGCAGCAGGCAGAGGTTGAAGCCTTCGATGGCCACCCAGGTGAGGCAGCTGAGCAGGGCATAGTGGAGGCCAGCAGCCAGCGCTGTGCACACGGCTCTGGGCCCGGCAGCCAGCACAGGGCTCAGCAGGAAGGCCACGTTGAGGAGCAGCACGGCGGTGTGCAGGTTCATGTGGATGCGTGTCGTGGAGTCTCTTGGCTTCCTGTGGGAGGAGGGGGATGCCTAGGACTCATGGTGGCTGGATCTGGGGTGACAGCTGCCACAGGGAGAGGGGACGGAGGAAAGGCTAGGGGGAGGGGGAGGGGAAGGCACCTGGAGTGCAGGTGCAGCAGGAGTGTGAGCAGCGACGCCACCATGGAGACACTGCAGCCCACGACAGAGATGGAGGTGAGAGGCGCCAGCAGCTCCACGGGGACTGGGGCTTGGGAGAGCTGCTGCGGGAGGGGAACACACAGACAGCTGCCCAGGCTTGGGGGGCCCTCCGAGCCCATCCCCAGATACCCCTCCCCACATACCCAGCCATGGGCCTGCCTTGACAGGGGCCAGGCCCCAGGCACAAGTGGCAACCCTTGCCCCCAGCAAATCCTCTGGCTTGATGAGAATGTCCCCTCCCTCACTTCCACGGACAGGGATGGCCCCACCTCCACTGTGTGCAGACAGGTGCACCCACTCCCACCCATGGGTGGCTCTGAACTCAATCTCAAGATTTCAGCTGGCCTGACCAGTGAGGCAGGCACAAGCCTGGAGCTGCAAGAAGCTACGTGACTGTCCCACACGGCAGGTCCTGTCTGAAGGCTCAGCCATTCAGACAAGCAAATGACAAGCAAAGCAGAGGGACCAAAACAGCCTCCTCTTAGTGGCATGGAGTCCCTGGATCCAACCATGCCCAAGTCTAATGCAATCTTTTTTCAGACACATGAGCCCAGAAGTTTCTTTTCTTTCTATTCTGGGGGTGTTGCTTAAGCCACTTGGAGTCAGATTTTCCGGCCCTCGCTCCTCTACCAGAGGCACAGGCCCCCTGTCCCAAGACTAGCTGTGCCCCAGGAACGCACCATGAGGACCGCGAAGTAGGTGAGGTGGTGGCACCGGCACAGCACCCGAGAAGGAGAGGGTTGCTCTGTGCGGCAGCCGTCTGCACTCCAGGCCCCCCAGGGCTGCTGGCTGGCTCCCTCCTTCCAGAAGACACAGGTCACTGTGTGGCCTTCCTGAAGGGACATGCCGAGGTCAGTCACCGGGTGCAGGGGAGGGACCTTGTACAGGCTGGGGTGGGGCATGCTGGGCCAAGGGAGGTTCCGCCGTGCACCTGTCAGCCCTCAGTAGGCTCTGGCTTTATGCTTTGCATCAGACAGTCCAGGTCCTAACCCCAACCCCAACACAGACTCTGAGAGGGACCTGGGCAACTTGCCCGGTTCTCCCAAGCCTCAGCCAAAGGAGGTCCCTGCTAGCTAAGTCACAAGGACACTGCAGACAGGCAATGTGGCCTCTCCTGTCAGGCTGGGCACAGCGACTAACTCAGGAGTGGACACACGACCCAGCCACAGGCTTGGAGTTGCCTGGGTGGGGAAGAGCCCACTGGGGGGAGGGAACAGGATTCTGGCACTTGGGCCTCAGTGAGGCTAGAGAGCCAAGCCAGAGCTTGCTGCTGAAAGACAGAGGGACTGAATCATGATGGCATTGTTGTGCTGCCTGGATCAAGCCACACCTGAAGCCAGATGGAAATTCTGACATTTCATCCACATGAACCAGCGAATTCCCTTTTGTGCCTGAGCTGGCTTGAATTGGTTTCCTCTTCGTTGCAACAGAAACAATGTAAATAGACACTGGAACTGAAGGCCTCTCTCTCTCTCTCTCATTTTCTTGGCATCGGGTATGATGGAATTAAGTCTCTTTCCAAAATGGTCCCACCGATTGCAGCTGAGTCAAATTCATGTCCAACAGGCCAGCTGCAGAGGGGCGGGAGGGGACAGAGGTGGGCCGCCCTCACAGTACCAGACTGTTGTTGTGCCAGAAGCTGATGTTGACAGGCTCCCGAAGGTTTTTCACAGACGTGTTGTCCAGCTGGGCCCCCAGGACGTAGCCGTTGAGCAGGGCAGAGCTGGCATTGTCCTGGGTGGGCAACAGAAGGGCTGGTGGAGGGAATGCGCTATGTGTGTGGGGTGGGGGACAGGTGAGGTCTGGGCCCCTGTCCTAGCCCCTCCTCTGCTTTTGACCTAGGCGTGGTATCTAGCATGGGCTGCCCCTGGCCTTGGCACATGCCATCCCTGCCACCTAGAAGGCTGTGCTGTCCCCACCCCAGTTCCAGCTCTCATCTGTTGGATGCATTGTGGTCTCAGAGCCTCCAGCTTACTTCCAGCTCAATTTGCTTTTAAAGCCAACATGGAAAGATAGCCCCTTCAGAAGCCCTCCTGACTGCCCTGTGACACGAGCCCTAGCTGCATCCTGACTCATGAGTCAGCTGCATCATTGTGGCTGTAACTGACCTTGAACTCATCTGTGAAGTCCGCATCTACATGAAACTGGAGCCAGAGACAGAGCAAGCTCTCTGCGGACAAGGACCTCACCTAGACACACTGTGGCTTTCTTAGGTCTCCTTTGCAAATCACCACTGAGCTCTCCTACCATTCTGCCAAAGCTTATGGGGAAACTGAGTCCAGGGAGAGACAAAGGGCTTGGCTGGTACAGGGACCCAGTCTTACTGGGTGGGTACCAGTTCCTGCCCAGAAGCAGGCAGTGGCAACGATGTCAGTGGCGCCCTCGGGAAGGTGCCAGCACCCTGTTGCCATGGCCTGCCTGCTTACCTGTCCCCACTGACCTGGAAGAAGTAGGGCGTGAGGAAGTAGACACAGATGAGCCGTAGCTCCGTGGGGCGTCTCTTGCAGGCCTCCGTGGTCAGCTCAGCAGGGAACTGCATGGTGTGCTCCTGCCGCACCTGTGCAGGGCCGCAGACAGGCTGAACTCGGCATCCAAGGCCGGCGGAACTGACCTGAATGCCCTCGCTGACTCCTGCTGACCACAACATCCGTGTACTGCCCTGGCCAGTCCCTCTCTCAAGTAGCTTATAGCTGGGTAGGGCTGATGCCAGGGGCAGGAGCAGCAGCCTGGGTGGGGAAGAAGGTGAGCAGAGCCTAGGGGAGCAGTGACAGCCTCACTCCCAACACCTCGGCCCCCCACATCTGGTATCCCCCCAACCCTGGTCACCGGCTCCTCTGATCCCCCTCTGACTGACCTGGTGGACCTGCCCTGAAGTGGCGCTGCTCAATGAGAGGCCAGCAAAGTCACAGTTGAGCTTGAAGACCAGGGACTGGATGGTGGTGGTCTGCAGGGTCAGGTTGTGGCCCAGAAAGCTGGCATTCAGCAGCATCTGCTCCAGATCTTGCACCTGCCTGAGGTCCAGACAGGTGGCCAGAGGAGCAAACCCAGGTTGAGGGTTGGCCCCCACCCCCAGCCCTGGCCACCCCCAAGCCGCTGCACACTCCGTGTCCCTGGAAGGCTGTTTCCTCCATGCCCTATGCATCACCTCCTGTTTAACTTCTGATCAGATCCTACTGTGCTGTCCTCTCTTCCAGGAAGCCTTCCCTGACTGCCCTCTGGCGCCCACTAAAGGACACATTCCCATGCTTCCCAACTGCAGTTCCTCATCCCGGCAAGTCACAAACATGAGCCTCTCACCCAGAATCTTCAAATCTACCCCCAGAACAACACAGAGTCCCCAGTGTAGACAACAGACGCTGCCAGGCAGTGACACGCTTGGCCCTGCCTCTTGGGATCCAGGGCCTTTGAGTGCAAAGTCCCAGCCCTGGCCTCTCAATTCAGGGTGTAGGCCTAGAGGCCAGGGAGGAGAACCCCAACTCACACAGCACGAGCCAAGTTCTGCCTCCTAGCCAGCTTCATCTTCTCCATCCTGAGCATCTGGTTCTGAATTTCTTCTGGTGATGTCCCTGGTTGGCACGAGAGTGAGACCGGGCCCTGGCTGTCCCCGACCCTGGGCTCTCAGGGCCTCAGCCCTCTAGCACTAGCCCAAGGTTTCCAGCTCACCCATACCACTGCCCTCCAGGGAACCCAAGCAGCCCTGACTCCCAGCTGTCCCGTCACAGCTCTGGGCCTGGGTGAGGATGCCACCACCATTCCCCCTGCCTTACCTGCTGTCCTGCCCTGAAAAGTCAGAAAACATAGGCCGAGGACCAGCACCCTGCAGCAATCCATGCCCCGAGACCACGTTTCCTCCAGGATTTGGTGCCTGCCCTGGGAAGTTGTCACCATCACCATAGCAATACAAAAATGGCCCCTGGCTTCTTGGTGTCTGCACTCAGGCACCTGCGTTCCTTTGATTCCCTACCCCTCCTGTTCAGGTTCCAAATGAACAAATGCTCTTCCACTTAAACATAGAGAATGGGTTAGGCATTGGCAGCCTATTTACAATAGCGCTTGGGACACTGGCATTCCATATCAGAGTCCTTGGGTTCAAGTCCCAGCTCTGCTTCCATATTCCAGCTCCCTGCTGATGGGCACCATGGGAGACGGCAGGGGATGACCCTGCTCCGGGGAGATAGTCTTGAGTACCCAGCTTCTGGCTTCAACTGGGCCCAGTCCCAGATTCGCAAGCACCTGGAGAGTGAGCCAGCAGATTGAAGATCTCCTCTGTCTGTATGTATCTCTCTGTTTTTCAAATAAATTTTTAAAATAAGAAGCAACCAAAATTCTCTGGGGGAAGGGGGAATTCTCCCCTCACAAAGAACACAAAGCCCAGACAATTTCCAGGTTAATTCTTTCAAACATCTTTTTTAAAGATGCATTTCTTAGGAAGACAGATCAGATTTGCAGAAAGAAGGAGAGACACAGAAAGATTTTCCGTCCGCTGGTTCAGTCTCCAAGTGGCCGTAACAGCCAGAGCTGCTCAATCCAAACTCAGGAGTCAGGAGCATCTTCTAGGTCTCCCACACAGGTCAGGTCCCAAGGCTTTGGCCACATGCAGGGAGCTGGAAGGGAAGTGGAGCAGCTGGGATATAAACCAGCACCCATAATGGATCCCAGCGCATGCAAGGTGAGGACTTTAGCCACTAGGCTACCACTCTGGGGCCCCCACTGTCTCTTGAAGGTCCTCCTACAGCAGGGTTGGGACTCAAACTTGTGAGGGGCATCTCAACCTGAGCGCCAAACACTCACCCCCCAACTTATAGAGATTTTTCTGAAAAAGTTAATCTATCCACACAAAAGGCATCATCTGTAAAATCCAAGGCAACTTCATTCACAATAGCCAAATACTGGGAACATTTGCAGGCACCTGTTGGGCAGTGAATGAAATGTAGACATATCCATGTCACAGAACAGCAGTGAGCAATAAGAAGGAATGAACTGTCAGCTGGGCCATGTCAGTGGGTGTGGCTAAGAGCACTGGGGCCAGACACAATGGACCCTGTGCTTCCTGCTTCAGCTCTTCTGACTGTCCATAAAATAAAGACTCTAGAAACACAGAACGGATCTGTGTGGCTGGGGACAGGGTGAAGATCGTGACGATGACAGAATACCAGGCAGCTCTTCAGAGCAGCAGAGACTCTGTGTAGACTGTGATTAAATGTATATCACTTACGGCAACACACATATGTGTGGAATGTGATTACATGTATATAGACTATGGTATACATGTTTCTATGGTGATGTATGTGTGTATAGACCATGGTGTATATGTGTGTAGATTTGATGCACACAGGTGCAGACCATAATTACATATATGAGAAGGCTGTAGTTATATGTATATAGACTATGGCCACATCTGTATCGGTTGTGATGCACATGTGTATAGGTTGTGATATACATGCATGTGGACTGTGATGATATGTGTGTAGATCTGGCGTACGTTAACACATGATAGCACACACTTGCCAAACCCATTCACATACTCTTCATTGGCTAGGTTTTCCTTTGTGTCTGTATTCCAGACTTTCTAAATGAAAGCAAAAACACGTTGGGAGGATGGCAAAGAGGAACCAGAAAGAGGAGGAGAGGCAACTTCCCCCTCTGGTGATGAAAAAAGTCAACAGAGAACGCGATGAGGGAGAACCACAGCACTCAAGAGACCTGCTGGATGGCGAGAGCAGGGAAGTGGCGAGGAGTATGACCTCTCTCTTTGCCCACACTGGGTTTGCACAAACCCTGGATCCCACAGCCCCAGGGTCAGGCTAAGGTGGCTGGCACAGGCTCCCATCTCACAAGCAAGAGTTCTATCTGCATGGGGACCATCCAACAATCCAGCAACATCCATGAACTTTACATTCTGAATGTCCCTTGGCCCAGGAAACTTTATTTTTATTAACTGATCCCACGGAAATTATAGGGCAAGCCAGGAATGCTTGTCTATACATAGACAAATATTTCTAACACTATTGTTAATAAAGAAAATCTAAAAACTGGGCAGGCAGCTGTCAACAGAAACATCTTAAATACATCAAAGTTTCAAAGCTGCCTTAGAAAATGGCTTGGACCTTTCTTCCTCTTCTTTGTTAAGATTTATTTATTTTTATTGGAAAATCAGATTTACAGAGAAAAGGAGAGACAGAGAGATCTTCTATCTACTGGCTCACTCCCCAAGTGGCCACCAACGGTCGAAACTAAGCCAATCCAAAGCCAGGAGCCAAGAGCCAGGAGCTTCCTTCCAGGTCTCCCACACTGGTGCAGAGTCCCAAGCCTTTGGGCCATCATCCTTTACTGCCTTCCCAAGCTACAAGCAGGGAGCTGGAAGAAGTCGAGCAGCTGGGATACAAACCGGTACCCATGTGGGATCCCTGTGCATGCAAGGTGAGGACTTTAGCCACAAGGCTATTGCGCTGGGCCTGGATCTTTCTTCTAAAACTCAACATGTGCCCATCCTGCGACCCAGCACCTGCACTCTTAAGCTTCCATCCCCAGGAAACACTCACATACCCACTGAAACCTACACGCATGCAGACTGAAACCTATGGGCATGCCTAGCAGCTTTGCCAGGGAAAGTCCCAAACTGGGAGCAACTCCAGTGTTGGGGAAATGCATGTACTCGGTACTGCACACCATGAACTACAACTCAGCAGTATTAAAAAAAATGATATACATGTGTATACACACACACAATTTTGGTGGATGTTGAAATATTCAGAGCAAAACCCAGATTCAAACCAATCTCAAAATGGTGCATATTGTGTAACTGGATATACATAACATGCTTTTAAATGGCAAAATTCTAGAACTAGAAAATTGATCCATGGGGTGGCCAACAGCTGGGTTGGGGAGGATTGTCTGTAAATGTCTGACTAATGCAGGAAGTTTTAAAAACTGCATCTATTTATGAAGCAGAGAAAAAGAGAGAAAGAGGAAGAAGAGACAGAGAGGCAAGGAGAACCAGAGCCTCACTCCCCTGTTTCGCTCCCTGAAACATCCTCTCGGGTCTGAAGCCAGGAGCCAGGAACTCAAGCCAAGTGGCCCACGCAGTGGCAGGAACTTGCGCACCTGCCTCCTCGCTGCCATGCCCCAGAGTCCACATTCGCAGGTAGCTATAGTCGGAAGCCACAGCCTGGCATCAGGTTACCTACTCCGGTGCAGGTCTGTGTCATATCCAGAGCCTCTAGTACTGGGCTAAACATTTACCACTTGTGCATAATTTTCAGGACCCTCGTTCTAGCCTGCACTTTGCTTTTCCTTAACGCTGTACCTTGCAGAGCTTCCATCACCTTACCTCGAAGGTGCACCCTCTCTCAACAGTGAGATGGCACAGGCAGAAGTTGTCATGGGTTTAAGCAGCCTCTGGGACCAGCCACAGCTGCAGAGTCTGATCTGCTCTTACAAACAGTGTAGTGGAACATGCCACACCTCCTAAATGAGCAAGCTCACCACTCAGACATACTCAAAAGGGATTCTATTTCTGGTCAACTTCTAGAAGCTTCTATACAAACCAAAGTCCTATTACTAGGAAAATCAGCTATTGCATGAATTTTATATCATTTTTATAGTTTGTCTTATAATATAACCCGCAGTCTTTTGTATTTTTTTTTTCTGGTCATGTAGAAGTATCTTCATAATGGCCCGGCACAATGTCTCAAAGGCTAAATCCTCAGCTTGTAAGCACTGGGATCCCATATGGCCACCAGTTCAAATCCTGGCTATTCCACTTCTCATCCAGCTCTCTGCTTGTGGCCTGGGAAAGTAATACACGACAGCCCGGAACCTTGGGCTCCTGCACCCACGTGGGAGACCTGGAGAAGGATCCTGGCTTCAGATCAGCTCATCTCCAGTCACTGCAGCCATTAAGAGACTAAACCAGCAGATAGAGGATCTTTCTCCTCTGTCTCTCCTTTCTGTAAATCAAAATAAACAAATTTTTTTTAAGGTAGTGCTGCTCTTAGTGCTGCAGCCTACTGGCTAAAGTTCTCGCCTTGCATGCACAGGAATCCCATATGGGCACTGGTTCTAATCCCGGTGGCCCCACTTCCCGTCCAGCTCCCTGCTTGTGACCTGGGAAGGCAGTGAAGGACGGCCCAAAGCCTTGGGACTCTGCACCAGCGTGGGAGACCTGGAATGAGCTCCTGGCTCCTGGCATCAGCTCAGCTTCAGCTGTTGGTGGCCACTTGGGAGGGAACCAGCAGACAGAAGATCTTTCTCTCTGTATCTTCTCCTCTTTGTATATCTGACTTACCAATCAAAATAAATCATTTTTTTAAAAGAAGAAGTATCTTCTTAAAAGATGTTTTGTTCATTTTTAGCTTCTGGACTTTGACTGCTAACTAGAAAAGCCTTCCCCATTCCAATGTCAGAAAGGAATTCTACATTTTCCCTAGGACTTTTGTAGTTTTGTCTGTCATACTGAAATGCCAAGGCCACTGGCATGGATTTTGGCGTAAAGTACAGCACTGGATTTTGTTTTTGTTTGTCCTCAGTGGTCACCCATGTTCCTTACAATTATTTTTCATGCTAACGACACTGAGGTTAGGGAGTGCTGGGTTAGCTGTTGGGCTGGGAGGTTACTGACTTGCTTACACTGCCTTTCTATACTTTCTTTTCTCAGAATTTAAGAGGCCAGGCAGTAGAAGAGCACAGAGAATCCATGGAACCGAACAACTTTAAATACTAAGAAAATGAAGGCCTTGACAGTGGAGGGCTTTCTAGCACAGAAATGATCTCAGGGTAACTTCTCTACATTCCCTGGACTTATGGATGGAAAAGGAGGCCCAGGCAAGCAGGTGTATTCAGTCTCCAGGACCCTAACGCCAAGTTCCCAGACCCTGAGCCACACAGCTCTGGGATAAGCATCAGATGTAAAGGAGGCTGACTCCCCCACTCCTCCTTCCCCACACCACCACATCCCTGCACACAAGTGGAGAAATCAAGGTCCAGCACCCCAGAGAGAAGCTGTGGGCTCCCACTGCTTTCCAGGAGCAAGCCAAGGTCTGTACTTCTGCATGTACCC